ATGTTTATGTATAATGGTTAAAAAAGAGAGAAAAGAAAATAACAATTTGTAAGGTCATAAAAAGTAAAATTCTATAATGAATTCAATCAAAAGCATTTTTACTGATTAAAAAATGTTTTTTTTTTGTCTGAAATAATTTCCATTGATCAGATAAAACAACCTTTAAAATCAGTCAATGTCAAGCGACGTAACATATGGTATTAATCTTAGTAATACTAATCAGTCGCTGAACAGAATCTTTCAAACTGTAAAACATAACGATAATCTATAATTTGTATTAATTAAAATGTCAGATTTAAAATAAAAGTTTTCAATGTACTTAATAACTTTTTACATTATTCTCTACTATGAATTCATCTTATATGCATATGAAATTTTTAAGGTGTCATTTGATTTTTCTTTCAGTTTCTATGTAACATGCAATCAAACCTTAAAAATTAATAATTGTCGTTTGTATTCAAAATTCTCGATTTCATTAATACGTTTTTTTAATATGATATATTCTTGTATTATTGAATATGTTAATGTTCATTTATAAATTTGATATTTTAAAATAATCAAAAGACTAGATTTTCAAATCAATAAACTATTATTGCTCTAAGTTTACATGAATATTCTAATACTTTCACAAAACCTCAAGTGTTACACAAGAATGGAATTTATCATTATGATACTAATTATACAAAAAAAAAAATTCTTAAGCTTAATAATTCATTTCATGTCGATTGTATCCGTTTAAATCTAAATGAATAATTCGATATCATTGAATTGATTTAGAAAACTACAATAAACAAGTAAAATTCTTTTTATCTTGTACGTACGTTTTCAAAACATTTTATTCCGAGTTTGACTTTCATTTGTATGAACCTATAAAAACCAACTATGGTACTTTGACTTGGAAAAAATAGACTATAAAGATCTTTTTCTTCATGTCTATCATCTATCAATTCTCATGATCAGAAAGTTGCGATTGATGAAATTGATTCATCCATATTATTTGAAATCCTCTTAAAAGAGAATCACTTTTTACAGTTTTTTTCTCTTCTTTCTTCATCCATTTGTTTTTCTTTCCTAGTTTTCTTTTCTGTTATATCTTGTTGATCGTTATTGATTGAATGGAAAAAAAAGGTTACAATCACAACTGAATTTCCTATTCTTTTTCTCGTTTTTTTTCTCCCTTGTGTACATATTAATCACTATCGTACGTACATGCATGCATGAAGGTATCGTATTTTGTGCCGCCCAACTTAACTGATGATTGCGCAAAAGAAAAAAAATCATCAAAGAAGAGGAAAAAAACCAAAGAATAAATATAAACAACATATATATCAAAGACGATACAGTCATGTTATTTGTCAATCTTGATTAAGCACAAAAAAATGAGGCTACTAATTTCGTGTGCACATCGGGCGATTCAAGGCTATGCATACCATGTTAAGTGAGATCGAGAAAGACGTTAATAGTATAAAACAGAGAAAAAAAAGAGAAGCCAAAACAATATAGATATTGTAATTGAGATCATACGAATATTAGAACCAAAATCAGTATTATTACATTTGAAGAAAAAACATCTTATATGTTGTTATATTATTTTGTTATTATTTGATCACTGACAAAGCCAATAAATGCTATTGTCAATGTGATGACAGCGGCAACAAGATTTTTAAAGAGACGATGTTTTTTCCCTTTTTCTTTTTTGTTCTTTTTTTCTTTCTTTTTTCTTCTCTTCACCAGAACATCGAGAAACAAAATCAGTCGCTCGATTTTCGAGTAGTTACAGTGGCAGGAAATCTCAATGTGACATTGCAGACACACAGATCGATTCTTATTATATGACTGAGTATCAAACTAGTCTTGTTTTTACTTGTACTTTGACATGATTCTACAGGAAAAAGCTTACCTGTTCATAAAGGTTCTATATCCATAATAAGAAATGAGAAAGTCGGGGTATTTTTGTTTTTGTTATTGTCAATGAAAAAAAAACACGCTTAACGACAGTTATAATAGATGAGCAAAAATCATCCATACAATTGAGCAGGTTGTTGTTTTTCTATTTTCTTCAGATCAATGCGATACGGTTATCGAACCGTCGTCTCTTATCGATGGTCCAAACCTCGGTATTGTTGATCCTCTTGTTTTTCTTCAATTTAGAGAAAGTTCAATCATTAAACAATATAAAGTAATATAAATTTTCAATAAAATATTGTTTTTTCTTTAATTTTTATTTTTCTAAATAAGAAGTTTTTCAAATGGTTTGAATAATGAATTACTTATAAATACGACATCAGGTTTATTTCAAGGTAAAGGAATTCTAATTCATAATGTTTCAATTCGACAATATTTTGGCATTCCATATGGTGAAAAGCCAGTTCGTTTTGAAATGCCTATCTTACGAAAATATAATACTAAAAAAATTGTACATGCCATAAAACGAACGCCGGCATGTCTACAAGCTCCTGGTGGTCTTTTATATGGTCCATTTGAATTATCTGATATGTATGATGAAGATTGTTTAACATTAAATATGTTTATTCCAAAAACAAAATCTTTAACTCCAAAAGCAATTATGGTATTTTGTCATGGTGGTTCGAATCAAGTAGGTTCAGGTTCATTATTTGATGGAAGTGCTGTAGCTGCAATTGGTGATGTTATTGTGATAACAATAAATTATCGTTTAAATATATTAGGATTTTTAACACCAGATACAAATATAATGTCTGGAAATTATGGTTTACATGATCAATTATTAGCATTAAAATGGATATCAATTAATGCTAAAAATTTTAATGGTGATTCAAAACGTATAACTTATGTTGGACATTCAGCTGGTGCAGCTAATGCTGTTCTACTTGCAATGTCAAAACGATCGAAAGGTTTAATAGCTCGAGTTATTGCTCAAAGCGGTAGTCCATTAAATCAATGGTAAATTATGTTAACTTTGGTTTGTTTCTTATAATGGTTTCTTTTTTTTGATCAATTTTTATATAGGGCAACCGATCAACATCCAAAAGTTCGATATGATAATGTTATTAAACGAAATGGTATGAAAACAAAGAAAAAATTTATTCAATCCAATATTGAACAATTTAAAAAATTATCAGCCAAAGAATTTCGTTATATGTATCATTCAGGTTTAGAAATATCACCAAATTATCCGTACGAGATATATATTTATTAGAATTGATTTTTTTTTTAAATAGTTGTTGTTTCTTTTTTTTTTTCATATACTAAAATTAGATTTCCAGTGATTGATAATAATATATTAACCGATAATATTGAACAATTGATTCGTACTGGACCACTTGTTAATGTTGATATATTAATTGGTGCAACAGCTGATGAATCATTATATTTCGCTCAAGAACATATATTTCATCATTATTTACCAAAAAAATATCGTACAATTGCATATTTAACAACTAATTCACGATCATCAACACTAAACAATAGTCAAAACAATTCGACAAACTCTTCATCTGATAAACCAATTGAACCTGAACAACCCCGTGGATTTTTTTATTTTAAGAAAAATAAATATATTAAAAATTATTTACAGACAAATTATCCTAATCATTTATGTTTCTATGAAGAAATACAAGCACGATATATGCCTCAGACAATTCATCAACATAATGTAACTGAAATAGCTGATCTCTATACAAATCTAGTCAGGTAATATATTTTTATCAAATGAAAATTTATTTTAATCGAATATTTCATATAGTGATTTAATGTTTTATTATGATCTTGTTCGTTTTCTTCATGAACGTTTACATTCTGAATCATCAGCATCAACTTATGTTTATTATTATACATATCCACCAATATTCGATTTTGAAAATATTCTACGACGTATGCCACATATGGTTGGACATTTTGCTGAACTTGATTTAATATGGGGTATACCATTCTTTAATCGTACAAATCAAACAATTTTAAATATGCCTTATAATATGGATTTATCTTATACACCAAAAGAAATTGAACTTAGTTATCAAATGATTCGATATTGGACAAATTTTGCTAAAACAGGTAATGAATTTTTCTTGTCATAATAACAAAAAAAAGAAAAATAGTAAATTTTTCATTTTTCAAGGAAATCCAAATGAACCAAATAATGTTTCAATTTATTGGCCACCATATGAAAAAACAAATAAATCTTATATAAATTTTCATGCACATAAAATACGTATAGAAAATAATTTTTTAGAAGAACGTTTTCAATTTTGGGATATGTTATCACATCGTACTATGTGTAAACCATTTCATTGGTATCATACATGTTTACTTGTTGGTATATTGATACTTACTTTATTATTAATATCAATTTTTATTTTTCATAATACAAAACGATCACGTCGAAATATAAAACCAACAGAATTGACTACCAATGACATTTTAGTTACTTATCATTTTTTACCAAGTGTTGTCTCTTAATTTAAACATTGATTTTTTTTTTCTTTCCGATTGTATAGTTATATTTAGTTCAAGTTATATCAATACTTCAGTTTTTTTTTTATTTGTCATATAAGAAGAAAGTCTATATAAAAAATAAGGGGAATATCATAAAATGAATTAAAGTACTAAAGAATGGATATAATGCCATTATTTTTTCTCTCTTCTTTATATACAATATGTCTCTCTTTTAGCGGTGAATTAATGAAGAACGCAAAATGTCGACAATGGTAATGTTGGCCGAGTGAAATTTTCTTCCGTCTGTTCCGTTTTAATGCCCAATCGCGACAGTAGGTTGAAATATAAAAGAAAAAAAAACGTGAGAGGTAAAAGGGCCGCAGAAAAAGAGAAAGAAGAAAAAAAAAAGAAAAAATAGAAACTCATGTCTAGAGGTGCATGATTCATTCATATATGCGTTGACCGCCATTATAGTAGTGGACAGATTGAGTGTATATCATTGTGTCCTTTGCTTAGACACGACATTCTCAAGGTTATATGAATAATCCTTTACTGCTCATAAAAAACATTCAATCAATAAAATAAAAATGGTAAGAAAAAGGTTATCAGTATGAAGACCTTGAAAAGTTCGTAATCGTATTTATTTCTTCGATTTCTTAGAATGGTGCTTATGCAAATGGAGGCAGTGATGATCGAAATGATTCAACTCGAATAGCATCCTATCGATCGGCTGTTAGTCGAGATCATACACGACCACCTTATCGTACAAAGCAAAAACGTATTGGTAATGAAATTGATTTAAATGTTGTTAATGCTGATCTTGTCTATGTAAGTTTTATTAAAATTCTAGAAGTTTTTGTTTTTTATTTTTGTGATCAAAAATTATTCTCTTTATATATTAGGATGAACATCAAATTTCAATTGAAGAACTTATTCATCGATTTGATACAGATCTAAGAACGGTAATTAAATGAATGCTAATCATCTTTTCGGAATTATTTATTCTGAAATATTCTGAGTGACGTCAAAATTTGTATTTTCTTAAATAAATTTTTGAAAGATTTGCGAACAAAAAAAGAATTGATATTACCATTATCTGTTTTATCAGATTATTTAACAAACTGACCTTTTTGTTTTTGATTATTAATCTATGAAAGAAAAATCATTCCTGAAATTATAAATTTCATTAAAGCATATATATATATATATATATCAGAACGACAAAGTTCTATTTTTATTTTAAAATTTGAATTTTCATTTTTTGTTTATTGATAAAGGGTTTAACAAAAATACAAGCCAAACAACGTTTAGTTGATGAAGGTCGTAATCATATTGAACCACCTCATGTTAGTATTTCAAAATCATGTGAACGTTTTTGGTTACAACCTTATATATTATTTGTTTCAATTTTATCATTACTTGCTATACTTTGTTTTGTGGCTTTTGCTATACAACTTAATACACGTGAAGATCCAACATTTGAGAATGTAATTTAATCAATATTTAATATAATTTTTAAATTTTTTTATTTTTATGTAATTTTATATTTAGCTCTATATGCTTATTGTATTGATAATATTCATTCTTTTACCAAGTATTTTTACATTTGCTGTTAGCCATATAAGTGCCAACAAATTACAATATTTGCGATATCAAATAAAACAAGTAAGAAAAAAAAAATTCTAAATTGAGATATTTCGTGTACATAACAACAAGAAAAAGATCAGTAGACAATGTAACAAAACGGAAGCCCTCCGATTATCGTCAGAGGACGAAAGTGTGTTTAAGAGAGAAGAAGAAGAAGAAGAAGAAGAGGAAGAAGGAAAAAGAGAAAGGTGTGTATTCATGTTCGTCCTTCTCTTAAACATCACATTACACATCATAAAATAAGTTTGTGAATAATGAAGATGATCCTTCAAAAATCGACAGACACATACACAAGATAATGATGACATTTTTTTTTTATTCAAACATATTATTGTATATTTCGTTCGAACTCTCGTCATTTTTTTTAATCCAATAAGTCTCGACTTGATGTTTATTATTGTAACTATTCGTTATTGAATATTAACAAAAAAAACAAAATAAAATACCGAAAAAATGATATTGATAATCTTTTTAATAACAATTATTAATGGACAAGATACAACAACATGTGAACCAAAAAATTCATTATCATGGACACCATGGTTTAATTTTCATAAACCATCATTAAAAGGTGAATATGAATTACATACTGCTATACGTAGTCGACATCCAACAATTGTTTGTGCTGAACCTCGTAGTGTATCAGCTGTTAATCAAGCCGGTATTGATATGAATCATACACTTGATATGATTTTATTACGTTCATTTGATGTATTTTGTTTAAATAATTATGATCCAAAATTTCAACAAAAAATTTGTGATGATTATAGTGTACGTTATTGTTGTCCAATAATAATAAATCATCATATACGAGATATATTTGTAAAAAATAAAACATATACAAATTCATTCATAGATAATCAATCACGTTTTATACAAACAAAATGTGGTCGTACAACATCATCATCATTAAATTTATTTCCATCAACAACACATACTGGATATATAATGAATTTATTTAATTCAGTGTTTTCAAGAATAATAAATGGTGTTGAATCAACTCCATATGGATGGCCTTGGCTTGTATCAATTGGTATTCGATATCGTCATCCAAATGGTCTATGGCAAAATCGAACTCATATATGTGGTGGAACATTAATTGAACCATCACATGTTCTTACAGCTGCACATTGTCTTGAACAAAAAATTGATGATCGTTATGTTCCATTTACATCAACAAATCCAACATTAGAATCACTTTTTATTTTACGTATTGGTATTCATGATATTCGTTCAACACGATCGGATGAAATTTATGGTGCTAAACGTATATTTGTTCATGAAAGATTTATATCAAGTACATTTGAAAATGATATTGCTATTATAAGACTTGATCGACCTGTAATAGTAACAAGATATATATCACCAATTTGTTTACCATCAAATAATATTTTACCAGGTTCACAAGTAACTGTTGCCGGTTGGGGTACAGTTACAGAAACATCACGTGTTCATTCAAATGTACTTCGACAAGCTAATGTTAATATTTTACCAGCAACAAATTGTCGAGTCTATACAGATGTTCATTATGATACTTCAAAACAATTATGTGCAGCAGCATTAGATTGGTCAAAAGATACTTGGTATATTCTTGTTTGGACTTCTCTATTTGGAAATACTGATTGGTTTTTCTTGTTTCTAGTGCTGGTGATAGCGGTGGTCCATTGATGCATCAAAATAATGGTGAATGGACAATAAGTGGTATTACATCATATGGTTATGGTTGTTCGAAACGTGGATTTCCGGGTGTCTACGTTCGTACAGTACCATATTTAACATGGATTAAACAGAAAATGTTGAGCACTTATTAGGATCTTCATCGTTACGTTTTTTTTTATCTGCATATAAATAAAATAATTTAAGAAAAAAGAAAAAAAAAATAAATTAAGAAAAAAGAAAAAAAAAATAATATTGATTAGTTTTTGGTTTGGGAGTTCAATTTTTTTCTTTATTTATTCTTTTTAGCAAGCCGATGTTAAACGTGAAGGTGAATGGCAACGTATCAATTCTGAAGATCTTGTACGTGGTGATATAATACATGTACGTGGTGGAGATCGTGTGCCTGCGGATATTCGTATTGTACATACATCTGGCCTTCTTGTTGATAATTCAATAATAACAAAAGATTCTGATCCTGTAACTAAATCAGCTGATTATACAAATACAAATCCATTGCAAACAAATAATTTGTTATTGTGTGGAACAAGTGTAAATTAAATTAATTTCATATTATAAGTAAAATTCGAAATAATTGATTTTTTTCTCTCTTAGATTACTCATGGATCAGCTATTGGTATTGTTGTTAAAACTGCCGAACATACATTATTGGGTAAAATGTCAAATACAACGGAAAGTAAGTTATGATAAATAGTTTTTGTGAAACATGATCTAAAAGGAGTGTTGAAGTATAGTGATGAAAATTTGCATCCCCACAACAGATGCTGACCAGAGGCTATTACAGACGTTAGTCGGAGATCATCACAAGCCATGACAGACACTAGCCAGAGACCGTGACAGATACGAATCAGAGGACACTGAGGACTCTAGTCCCAGATCGTCTCAGAACGTGATAGATAATAGTCAGAGATCGTCATATGCCGTGACAGACACCTGGACAACGTACCTCCTGTCTGAGACAGACCGTGACGGACGTCGTTGATATACTATCAAAGACCATATATTAATAATGTCTCTTTACTACTTCTTCATTGCATTTCTGAACAATTAAGTAAAAAAGAAAGTGATGAAGAAATGTGTCCTAAAATAGATAGAATAAAACAATCTTCTAGTGAGTAGCAACAGTAGCTACATTGTATTTCATATTTTAATCTCGCAGAGCTTGTGATAACAACTTTTGTTTTTGTAAAATCTTAAATTTTTAGGTTTGGATCCTAAAAGAACAATATATGCACGTACAATTCGTTCGTTATTTCTTTTTCTTACGGTATTTGGTCTTGCTCTTGGTGTTGTTTTCTTTATTATTCTATATTCAACCGGTTATTATTGGCTGTATGCTATACAAATAATGATATCAGTTTATATTGCTTGTATTCCAGAAATTCTACCAGCTATAATTCAGGTAAAGAAAGAAAAAAAAATTTTTATGTTTCGAATATCTTTTTTTTTTGTCGTTGTATAGTTATGTTTAACACGTACAGCACAACGTATGGCAACAAGAAATTGTCTTGTTAAAGTTATTGATGCATTATATGATTTAGCTTGTACAACAATATTATTTGTTGATAAATCTGTTTTAACAAGTAATAACATGGGAGCTAGTCAAATATGGATACCATCAAATCAAGAACGTGTTTTATCAGCTGCTCCATTGGATGATCTAACAAGTAAATATTTAATTGAAATTTATTCGACTAAAACTTTGTTTCTTTTTCTTTTTTAGTTATACATGAATGTATGCAAATGTCAGGTTGGCAAACATTAATGCGTACAGCTATACTTTGTAGTCAAGCTGAATGTTTTATTGATCAACATCAGGCAACTCGACATACACCATTAACAGAATGGTTTGTTGATCACAAAAAAAAAAAAAAAAAACTGTTTTTCTTTGAATTATTTTGTTTTAAAAAAAAATTAGGGAAGGTGATGCACGTGAAATAGCAATTATAAAATATGCTGAATATGCGGACTTAGATATAGCTGCTATACGTCAATTGTATCCTCGACGTGATCTTCGTCCTTTTACATCGGAAAATAAAAGAATTGTTCGTAATTGAGAGAAAAAAAAATAATTTCGTTTTTATCTTTTTGTTTTTATTAAGGAATCATTTCATTTTAATAATGAACCAAATATGGAAGGAATGTATCTTGATTGTATGATGGGTGCACCAGAACGTATTTTTCATCGATGTGCAACTGTTTTATTAAATGATGAAGAAATACCAAAAGATGGTGATATTGTTCTAGAACGAATGTTTAATGAAACACTTATTCAAATGGGTTCACTTGGTGAAACTGTTCTTGGTAAATAAAATATTTCTTTCAAAATTGAAATTAATTTTATTATTTGTTTAATTTAGGTTTTGCTGATCGACAATATCATCGTGATGATGGTCCTCAAGAAAATTGGCGTTTTCTAGGTCTTATGTCATTTAGTGATCCAATTCAAGAAAATACTGTAAAAGCTATTGAAAAATGTCGATTAGCTGATGTTAAAGTAAGTTATGCTTGACTGAACTAGTTTCTTCATAAGAAATGATAAGATTGATGTTTTTTATCATCTGAGATCATTATTTAATGTATCTGAAAGTAGGATACCGCTTTAATTTTTGGTTCCTGTTAAAAAGTTGTGTTTTCCTCACTCGACAAACTTTTCCGTTCATCAGCTACTATTGTCAGAAGGAAAAACTAAATCAGATTCAAAGTTGAATTTTGAATTTTCTTGTTACAATTATTAAAGTCTTGAAAATTATTAAAAACAAACAAAAATATACTAGTTTTCCAACTCTAAAAAGTAATAAAAATAAACTGAACTAAATTAGTGACCGGCAGGTTCAAAATTTTCGGATCCAGATCCGACCCGACGGGTTCTACCAGCAAATCGATCTGTCCGATATCGAAGTTCCAAGTCTCATCCTTATAAATGAGATTTATAAAGTATATAAAGAATTCTTTATTTTGTTGCAGGTTATTTTAATATCTGGTGATCATCCTGTTACAGCATGTGCACTTGCTAGACGTTTAACTATATTTTCATCTGAATCAGAAACTGTTGAAGATGTAGCTATTAGACTTGGTATACCAGTTGAACGTGTTGAACCACGGTATGATTAAAATAAATATTTGAAATGAATTTTAAAAATTTTTTATTTGTTTATCTTTCTTTATAATAGACAAGCAACAGCGATTGTTATTCATGGACGTGATTTACATAGTATATCACAACTTGATTTAGCTGATACAATAATAAATGCACCTGAAGTTTGTTTTGCTCGAACAACACTTCGACAAAAACAAAAAATTGTTGAATGTGCACAATTAGGCAAAGCTGTTGTAGCATGTTTTTGTCAATCATCTGATGA